TATTTTCAGTTAAATTCCGGGTCAAGTTCAGTTCAGTTAATTAATGCCAACTCAGTTTTGTACTTAGCCGGTTTCAGATATACCGATTAAGTCCGAATATTACGTCAGATTCTATAAAGCATCTTAACATAATTAAACAGCTAATTTATCAGTCTGAGCATAGTCAATGGTAATTGTTTATATTATTTTTCAGTTTGATCAGATATCAGCACTGCCTCTCAGTTTCAGTTTCAGCAAATTCAGGTGGGGACTCAGACTAAGTATTACATGGTTTATAATCACGTTACCATGGTCGAGGTATGTATATTCAGATACCGCTCGGGATGGTCGCCGGTCCATTCTGGGTTCTAGTGGCCTAGTCTAACCACTAGAGTGTGCACATGGTCCGGTATTAGTTTTGCCGGGAGATGTTTAGTTCAGATGTGACTTCTGTCACGACGTGACTTTGGTCGCGAGATTCAGTTATCAGTTACGTGACTTATGTCGCGAGATCAGACCGGTTATCAGTTATCAGATATCAGTTCAGATCAGTTATATATGCTTAGTTCATGATCATGTTATTATTTACGATGTTGTACATTAGCATGAGTTTCTGCGGAGCACAGTGCCTTAGTGCTCACGCCCCACATCTTTCATGTTTTTCAGGTCGCAGGGTCGGAGATGAGGAGTGAGCGGGCGAGCTGTTCAGGACATTTATGTTTATTGTACTTATGATTTGCCACGCTAGACTTCCGCTAAATCTTTTCAGTACTTTTTATCAGACTTCGTTCCGATGTTTGTCGGATAAGACATTATGACCGTTTTATTTATCAGTTTAAAAATTTTAACTGTTTTCAAAAAATCAAGTTTTCACGGTAGCATCCCGATCAGTTTTCGCAAAAATAAGTATTTTGTTTAGTTATTCAGAAAATTTGCGAAAAATCGCGCACTCTGATGTATTTAAAATAGCGGGGTGTTACAGGGTCTCATCTCTATGAATGTTGACTTGAACATGGTCTGGATCACGAACACGTCCTCGATCATGAACGGGATCGGTTTTATGGCCTTCCTCAACTAAATCGCCTTATTCCTCATATGGGACCGTCATTCTCAATTCCGATGGGGATAAAAGAGAATTATGTTTGATTTTGTGTATTGGGGACCATAGCCAAGAGGTTCTATATATATATATATTAATAGGGTAGGCCACCCAATATCACCTAACCCTAGTAATATTAGGTATCCACTCATTAAGTCCATATCAATTTATGTAGCCCATGAACTCTACTTAATTTAGATCACTTAATTGAGTCCATTAATTAATTGAATAGCTAATATTATATATTTGTATATAATATGTTGTCCATAATTAGATTATACATAAGAAATAAAATATTTCCTAACAATCTCCCACTTGGGCTACATATTTGTTCCGAAGCAATTATATTAATTCCTTAATTGTGCAACTTTATTCTATTCATAATCAGACTACCTTAAACAATCTGGTCCATCTCATATACTAGCAATGAAACTACCGCGGCTTTCACCACATTACAAATCGTGGATAAACCCCGTGAGTCACCATACTAGTACACTCAATGACATAGATCAAATATGGTGAGTGACATTGAAATTACAAGCAATGTGATCTTTAACATGTCTATTTTCAACTGGTCCAACTTTAAATCCTTATTGAAATCAATCCATAAATATAACACGAAGTCACAAAAATAGAAAAGTTTAGTGATTCATAACGAATCCGAACCATCAACTTTATTCTGCAGAAAACTGAAGTGATAACTTCAAGAAAACATTGAACACCAACTCCCACTGAACTAAGGCAATATCCATAGTAACACTTATATGAGCAATATACTCATAAAATACTTCAAGTGTTAATACCTTAGTATACCTTATAATGGAGCAATGAATTTGCTAGCATAAATTCATCGTTATATATCCAATAATAATTCATCAGCATGAATTTTATCCTTCGCAACAACAAGAAACTTTATGAACAATTTCTGTTGTTGAAATATGTTAAATTAATATTATTACAATAGAACTTTAGTGGTATTCAATACCATCCGCAACATGCAGCCTCGTGATAATATCATGCAACCATAACCTTATAAGATGCCTTCAGATAAGCTAAATCTCAATTGCTAAAGAGGAATAAACTTTAAGTGTCTGTTTGGCACTTTTCGAATTAGTTCTTCCAACTAGCAGTTAATGTAGCTTGACTTAAATCTGGATCGTTCAACTTAACAGACATCCAATAAACTCAAAAATAGAGTTCCAAATGATCTCTCAAATGATCCAATAATCCTTAAGTGAGTATAAATTCTCTTTTATTCTCAAACAAAACTTTATAAACTCTTTGACTGCATTCAATGGGTTAATAATCAAGATTCAATCATTTGTCAAATAATTACACGTATGTGAATTCCAAATACATATATACTTGAAAATACAAAAGATTACCAACCATATGTATATCTTTTGTTCTTTCTAAACTTTAACTCATTCTTGGGACAATGAACGAGATAGATAACATAAGTTTTCTTAAGAGTATAGACCACCCAACCTATAGTATATACAATTATTAACTTTATTTATCTCGATAAAAATGAGATAATGACTTAAGAAAATTGTAATACCATAGAGGGAGTCAACATAATATTAAATGCTTCAAAATGACATAGATTATAAAGAGTTCCTCATCAAAATCAAAAGAAAAGACTCTTGTAACCAAAGTCAATATTTAGATGAAACTTATGTTGACTAGACATACCTTATGTCTCTCATTATTGTCTTATGAATCCATTAAGCCACATTTATGACCAATAAGACTTATACTTTTAGACAAGTTGACAAAACCTCAAAATGTCAATTCATACATAATTCATCAAAGCTTCATGTATACTTATTTGAGGTGGTTGAGTTTGAATTTCGGGACCATATTTGCATTTCTAAAAAATGCTTTATAACACTATTCTTTATAGCTTTATCTCCCACTCAAGCCCAACTTCCTCAAATGAACTTTAAATTCATTATTAACAAAAAGCCTTATAGAATTTTGAATGAGTAGTTACCCACAATCTTTAGTCCAAATTTACTTATAAACATGAAAGTCTTACCTTAGTTGGACAACCCCCAAGTGTAAGTTGAAAATCCATAAGAGATGTGAGTTTTACTCAATTCACAAACTCTATTAATAATGAACCACATTGCTTCTCACATTATTGACAAAGAGGAGTAGTCAACCATATTTCTTTTACCAAAACTTAACAAAATTGAGTTAGATTCATATGCCTTGTACCACTTAAAAATTTGATTGCTTTATGTGAGTGACAAAAAAAAAAAAAAAATTACTCACGAAATACTTAAGTGGTACAAAACTAAACTAGCTAACTCATATTGAGAAACAAACTTTAGAATGTGGATTGATGAAGGATAAATTGTACATAAAGTCTTTTCTCGTCCATTTTTTTTTTATCACATAACAAAATAAATACTTTATGTACAATCAAAGTGCCTTAGATTGAAGACGAGTTTTAGACATATCACAATGTACTTCCTTATATTCCATTTAACTTAATTGAAACAATAATCAAAAGATATATTATTTTATCAAATATCCTTAGTGGAACTTCCTACATTATCCATCAACCTTATGTCCCAATAATAACCAAATATTGTTCTATAAGCATATAAAACTTATAGAAAAATATATAATGACAAATGACTTAAGGTAAGCAGATGAACAATACCAAAATTGTAATATCCCGAGATATTATCAGTATAAATTACGTTTAATTCCGATATAGTAACAGTATTGTTTATTATTTCGGAATTAATTAAGTTCAGTCGAGATTACCGAAATATATTTTCGGCGTATCGTTTACGTCCGAAATAATTTTGGTAATTAAGTATTATGTTTAATTGAATAATTAAACATAAGATAAGTGATTAATTAACATTAATCACCATCATTAGCCCTTAAGCCGTGAGATTAAGTATTTTTCCCCAATTTTTCTAATCAAATGCCGTGGCTTTTCTTAAGTATTAGGGAAGGTTTATTAACCAATCATCCTTAGCAATTTGTCAAAAGCATGATGTGCTTAGTCATTCCTAGCTTAAGTAAAAGCT